AATAAGTACGATTCCCAATCAATATCTTTCGAACGGTTTTTGAATTTTCATAATCGGTTCAAAATTTCGGGCTAAAACGTTGACGAAAAATTTTTCACTTTTCTGCGATTTATAAAGAAACGTCTCGGCCGATCGTACCAAAGCTGACAAACGATAGTCCTCGTAATAAATCTGTTCTCATACACACACACACACATATATATATACTTTTTCCAAATTTGGTCTCATTCGATTCAGAATGGCTTGAAACAACGAGAAAACATAAAATTAGCGAATCGGATGTTTTGATGAAAACAAACCTCCAAATTTTGTTTTTACTGCCGTGAACCCCTTGAAAGTTGCCTTGTGGACCACTTTGGAAATCATTGGTATAATTACAGATCAAACTGATTCTACGATTACTTCGTCAAAAATTATTGAAATTACCAAAAATATAATATTTCGGCTATAAATTAAGATTAAGTTGGATCATATGTACACGGAGAGCAAAACAAATTTAAAATCTGTTCAGTATTTTAGGCGTCCATCGCGACCAAACAACGTGACACTAACTTTATATATATAAAGATATTATATCTCTTGTGTTCTATTTGTATAAGTATTATCAAGTATTTTGAGAGTCGTCGCAGTATGAATCTTGTTTCTATACTTGCAAAACATACAGGAAGTTCGAGTAGCCAAAGTTCGCGAATCAAAGGCACAAACTACACGGCTTTTTGCGCCCCATGCTGCACCTACGCGAGTTTGTCGCCGTCCAATAAATACTTACGGCTTAAAACTTCCAAAGACTTCGTATTTACGTTTCTGGTAAAAGAAAAGTTGGATAGTACTACGGTAATAATCCAACTTAAACGCACACGGTTGATCGTGATTTATGATACTGAATATTCGTGCGGAAGTAATGGATTCAATTTTAAAATTAGTTACGCTAGACTAACACATATAATGATGTAATTCATGGTGATTTTTTATACTGATTGATTATTGATGTGATGGTTAGCTAGTAAAATAATTTTGTTTTATTTCTTTCTCTTAGGGTAAGTTATATTAATTGCAATAATTTGAATGTAAAGATTTGGCGTATCCTTATGTTTCAAAGTCTGTCTTTTATAATATGACATACCTTATAAAAAATGGATGTTTTTGTATGTATGCAGTAGGTATGTATTTATGTATATATGTGTGTATGTTTGGATACACAGTTTTTCGTTCACGATTTTGAGAGCATAAATCAAACGCTTTGAATAATTCAAAAAACTATTGTTACTGACGGGTAGGCGTGCTGATTAGTTATTGACAAAGGCAGGTCCAAGAGATACGTAGCGAAAAATACTAAAAATAACAGGTATTTAGAGAACAGAGCATTTGATAAGAGATAAGGGTCTCTAAAGACAAACATGACAAAATTTAAGATATGTATAGAATATAGGCTTGATTATATTTTATTTACTTCTCTTATAAACATATATAAACGTCTTCGCTTTAGTTATAAGCCCTTATATTCTGTCTATAAACTACGAATTATGAAAGTTACATCATTAACTTCCGGAAGGAAAAGTTAGTTTTTTTCAAAAAATCAGATTTGCTAATTTTATGGTTTCCCGACGTTTCAAGTCATTCTGAATCGAAAGAGACCTTTGGAAAAGTACGTGTACCTGATGTATTTGAAGCGAGTGAATAAACTTTTGTCCACTTTTTCTCGTAAACGGCTTGATTTCTGAAATTTAAAAGCCATTTAATGTAACTAAAAAGCAACTCGTTTTGATTGGTATTGCATAATGATCGGTCAATCTTTTTTGTAATCAGCAGAAAAATGAAATAAAAATTGTCCACGTTTTAAGCCGCAATTCCTAAATCGATTTTAAAAATTCAAAAACTGTTTGAACATTATTTGTACTAAACATACTGAAATTTCACAGACCTAGTGTTTCAATTTTTAATTTTATCAAAGTTTGAAAAAATATGAAATGTTTGAAAAATATGTTTTGTGATGGGATAAGTTCAAAATTTTAGTTTTGTCAACGTTTTCTCAAAATCGGCTGAACAAATTTCACTAAATTAAAAGCCAGCAAAAAAGTTTTTGCAAAAATATTGTTATCTCAAGTTTATGTTCGTGCATTATAGACAGAAGTTCATTAATAATTATATAAAAAGATTCTTCTTAAATCTATTATTAATCTACAAAACTTCTCAAGTTGTGTAACAAAACCTCTCATATGATATACGTACTGGTGCCAGTATTTTCTTATAGCATATACTTGATATTTCACAAAATAATTTATTAAGTTCCTAAGAAAGAATGTTTCGACATTTTCCATAAAATTTAATATGACAATAAAGTTTAGGCACTAAACAGTCCTTCGAAAATTAATTGAGTCATATAAATACTTGGAATAAGGTGCTTCAATTTTAGGACATACAAGCACATGTATGTGCACTATATTTATTATAATTACAGATAATTTATTAAATGTGTTTGTGAGATATCAATTGGTAAACGTTATGTTTAGTTGAAATTTTCATCTAAATATCTAAATCACAATTTCAGTTGATCAAGTCAATAATTGTACATTTCGGAAAGTTCATGCAACTTGCCCTGAAGCAAAATGCCACTTTCAACTAGTTTATAATATTGTATTTGGTAATACCTGAAGTAATAGTCAATTTCTGTTCATTATTCATTATTTTTACTCCTCGTATGTTTAATTATGAAACGGAAAGTTCCATCAATTAGCCTTAAAGCCCAATGCCCTGTACCACTAGTTTGTACCTACTATGCAAATCATTTTTATTAGGTAAGTTTCAGAAATATTCTTTCACACACAATACACCACTAGTTTGTGTTTTTTACATTAGAATCAGTCGTGGCTAACGTGGGCGTTTGCAAATATCTCACGTTCGGATCGCTCACGTACAGACACGCGTGCTGGCAAGGATTATGAATTAATAACAAATCCTTTCGTTATGTAATCACAGTATTACATGACATGTAATACGTAAAATGGATGTCTCATTTGATAAATGAAATATGAATTCTTCGATGGAGAGGAGATAGTTATTTATTATTCAATTTATTGACCTATGTGAAGATGAACCTAATCTTGATGGATTTTTCTAAATTGCAATACAGTAGAAGTCCTTTAGTCCAGCTTGCTCGGGACTGACTACTGTGATGAACTATCATAAAGTCCAGACTGTCGGGTGGTAATTATAAAAATAATTAGGTTAATAAAAATTAGTAGGAAATACAAACACAAAGCTCATTTCGCATTTATCGAATTATTATATATATTTAAAATATTTTTAAATTTTTAACAGAAAAACACTAAATTTTTACAAAAAAAGTAAATATTTGATAATTTCTAGCCGTTTGATGATTTGTAGTTTCTGATTGAAAGTTAGTGTTACGTGTATTCATATCTCTCGAATTCAATACCAAGACCTAAGTTCTAAAAATATGGTCACTGCACAGTTAAGTGGTAAAATCTACAAGTGTATTGTGCCCCTGTGTTTAGTAGAGTAAGTTAAACTAGTGGGGCGCATGGCATCGTGCCTTAAGGCAAATTGCTGGAACTTCCCGTACCAAATATTATTATTTTTTTAAAAACGATTAACATTTTTGAAAAAATTTCACTTCGAAAAAATTAGATTTTTGAGAAACTAGGACTTTGACAAAAAATTACCTTTTTTGGAAAAAAAAATTTTTTTTTGAAAAAAAATTTTTTTCTTCATTTTGACATATTTTGGAAATTCTGAACTTTTTTTCAAAGTAATCGTACTGCTTTAACTGCATAGAGACAAAATGTAAAAGCGCGTAAGTGCCGCATCGCCGTCTAACGGATAAACATTGGTACGGAACCCATAGGAATGCAAACAAAATTTATACTTATTGTTAAAATCTCTATAAAATATCTGATAATTTGATGTGCATATGTCTAATGATCATTTTTGACCGCCAAATGGCAATTTTTTACTTTTTTCAATAGATCTCCGAAAACAGAAATATAAAACTTATTATAATCTAAGACTAAATTTGGGATATGATAATCAATCTTACTATTATCATACTATTATATTATACTATACTATTATATATCATAGATAATTTAACTATTATCTATTATACCGTGAGATACCTATGCCATCAATTTCTCTATCCATACAAATAATCTATTACAGCTAGATGTGTATATATATGTATGTATGTATATATATACAAACACCCTACATACCTATTTAATATTAATGTGTTATATATTTCTACCTTAAGCCTTATTTATTATCTCTACCTATCTATTGCCTATACCGGGGATTGAACCCGGTTCCTCTGCGTGACAGTCACGCATCTTAACCACTACTCTATCGGGTCCCCCACTGAAAATATATTATGGAACACACTGTTGTTTCATTTTCTAATTAATTGAGCATTTTCTAATTAATTGAGTAACTAATACTAAGGTGACGCAACAACACACGAAAAAAGACGGTTGATTGTAGCGTTACGGTGGTCGAGTGGATAACGTCGTAGCTTGTCATGCGGCAGACCGGGGTTCGATTCCCGGTAAGGGTGAAAATAGTATGTAAGCGAAATTGTAGGCGTAAGATAATAAATGTTAGGCGGTTTAGATATAAGTGTAAGGATTGAGCGTATACGGTGTGGTAGTAAAGGAACGTACGATATAGTAGTTATAAGGCGTATAACCACGTAAAATGTAATGTTTAGGTATGGTTTAGGTATAGGTGATACACATACGCGAAAAGAAATTCATGGTATTAGGGGTTATCGTATAAAAATTGCGAATGTTATATAGATTTAATTTATAACTATTCGTTCTTCTATACAAATATTTAGTTTGCTGGTTTGTTTTTGACAAAGGCAGGGCAAAAGTGCAAAAAAATGTCGATTTAGTTTTTGAGTCAACGGAGCATCTGGTTTAAATGATTCAAAAAACATTTTACATTTATTTACTGCAGGCAGAAGTAATTAAATTTTTGGGCAGGTCCAATAAAAAAAAGTAAAATATTCTCTGTTAAAAATATTAAATATCGGTACGAAAAGTTCTAGCAATTTGCCTTAAGGCACGCCATGCATCTCTAGTTTAGTCTTATATTATAAGAACAAAAAGTTCAAAACCATCGGAATCGAAAGGTGAAAGTTTTTTAGGTAAATTTGATTATCAATCAACTTTATTTATACTAAAATAATTATTAACTAGTGGGGTGGGTGGCATCGTTCCTTAAGGCAAATTGCTGGAATTTCCCGAACCGTAACGAAATGTTCGAGAAATACTAAATGTTTTCAAATAGATTATTATAAATATTGTAACATTGTCTAATATTTATAAGAATTATATAAACTGAATTGCAAAGTTGAAATTATTTGTAAAGTATATTAGAACTATAGTCAGATTTAAAAGTAAATCTGAATTATTTTCGATATACAAAAAATTAAAAAAAAAAAAGTTGAAACAGTTTAAACAGTTTTTTCCAAAATCAATTATTTTGTTAAGACAAGCAGAAAGTTCTTTTAATCAATTAAATCGGACGCTTAGTTTTTTGGCCTTAGATTTTTGGCCTTAGATTTTTGGCCTTAGATTTTTGGCCCATTACAATAACTTACCCTACGGGAAGTTAAAAACGGCCGAATCCTTCGTAGAACGTAAAGACTACGTATTTCGTTGAACATACTTTGTTCACGAACCTAGACATAACGGAATTTACCATGAACACAACGATTACCGAACAAAAGCGAGTCCTTTCGAATGATTCCGAGCCACCCCGAAAACGTTCTAATAGCTCTCTATTGCTTTTATTTGCTAAAAGCTCGTTTTTGAAAAAAACGTAATTTTCGAAACAATGCCGGACTATCAGGCATTCCAAACTGTTGTGGGCCAGACTATAGGACTTCTACTGTATATATTTCAATATGTGAAAATTTAGTCCTTGTGTTTAAAACAGAGCAGAGTAGGAAAACTTATACACGAACTATAATAATTACACAATACCATAAAAATTTAGCAAAACCATATAGGTCCACTTACTGCGGCTATCAAGTAGAAAATTCTATATTAGTACCAGATATACTACATTCTAAAGATTTTTTTTAATTTACATATAAATTACAATCTGTCTATAGATAGGCATCGAGTAATTGGTTTAAGAACTAACAGTGGCTTTTTAAAAGGTGAACTCAATGGTTTACCTTTAATTTTTGTACTAAATATCTAATTTTCATCTTATTTTACAAAAAAGAGAGCAAAATTTTAGAGATATTAATATCATCGGTATTGATTTTTTTTCAGTTTTTATATTATTTTTATGGTGTTTTATAAAATTCGTGAGTTTAATATGATCACCTATCATAAGAATAAAACTTCCAAATATTATATTGAATAATATATACCTATTAAATTTAATATATTCTGTTGCTAGGAGCAAACTAATTTTAATGTGATTTATAACGAATCATAGTTTTAACCAATTTTATACATTTATACAATAATTTATTTTTAAACGAATAATATGTTTATGGAAAGAGAAATTCTTGAATAATACCTTGTCAATATGATTTATTTATAACTAAAGTATAGAATACATATTTTTTTATACAAAATGCGATATTAAATTCAAAACATCATTTATAAGTACTTATGTACTAACATATATTTTTGCTTAAAGCATCATGTAAATTTCTATGTTTACACACAAATAAGCATTTAGTATATTTTTGATATTTTATATATATTACAATTCATGAGAAACTCAACAAATACTATATATTTATAAAGACTATGATTCTTGAATGAACTTTTTATTATCAATTTGTTATAATTGCAACTATATTACTATATTCAATGAACATAAAATACAAAATAAAATTCTTTGAACTAAAAACGACTATAGTATATAAACAATATTCGATTAATAAATATATGTGTTCTTTGTATAAAAAATGATTAACTCCAAACATGTTCTATATTTTGTGCTTTTATTATTATTATTAAATTATTATTATTTTTAATAATTATTAAAAGTTTTTACTACCACCTTTAGAACTTAAATTATATTTTTTCTTTATTTTTTTCAGGGGCCTGTATCGTTTAGTGGAGCAGATAGAGTGGGCACATCTGCATTTTATCAAATTCAAGGTAAGTTTTTTTTGTTATTGTTTGATGCAAGTTATTCATAAATATATCATTTTACTTATTTTAATTATAATATTACAACATATTTTTTATGAAAAATGCTATGTATTGGTAAAAGTATAAGTAACGTATCGAAGCCAACAAATTTTCAAACATATACAGTTTTATTTATCAATGATACCATTATATGAATATTGAATAAGTAAATCCTCGAATTTCAATTTAACTACTGAATCATATATATAATAATATGTGAAGCTCAGCATTGCCATTGAATTCGTCTTAACAGCAATCGATTTCATATCAACTTTCCCTGGAGATACATAAGAATAAAATATTACCTATGTCAGTTTTGTTACCTTTGAACGAGCCCAATATTACATTTCCTAAAATAATCCTATTTGTTTTTCAATCATTTTCTCAGCCTACAAAAAACTTTTATCGAATGGTTGGCGATCTTCGAAAGTATGTATTATATAGTAAAACTTCTATTTTATAGATCAGAACAAGATTAGAAAATACATATATATTAAGTTATGGTTATAATTTATTTATCGGATTATGAAACTCAAGTTTTATAATAACATTACATGAAAATATAATATATAGCCCATAGCTTTTGAAATATTTTAGTTTCCTAAAATATAATTAATTAGTATTTTCAATAATTAAAGAGTATATTAAAATTCATAAAGAAATATTAAAATCATTTTGTTTTTTTATAGAAGTAAACTAACTAAAATTTTTATAGTTTACGCATGTCCTATAATTTTTAAGATATTTATTACAATAATAGATTTTCATAAATTATTTTGTTTATTTATATAAAAAATCATATACATTTTGAATATACTTTATAACATATTATGGTCAGTTTTATATTTTTGCAATTATTATTATATAATTTGAGAACTAATTTGTTTTTTACATCTCTTACTATTTTTATGGAAAAATATTTAGAAACAAAAAGTATGAAAATCCATTCATTACATCTTCTGTTCATTTCACGATTTATCTGCCAACATGATGTAACTGTAAAAGAAAACTCAATTTTTATTTGGCAAAAACACATTTTGATTAAAAATACGTCTGTAGGCGAGCAGATAAAAGAAAATTTTCATTTAAGTTATAAATAATACAAAACCCGCCATAACAGAGTTTTATATAGATATACATCTATAAACATACATCATCTATATACATTTCTACTACAGGAAATATCCTTTTTCTATTGAAAGTCTAGTTAGTTTTCAATTCAATTTATGCTTATACAAATTTGAAAGTATAATAAAATTTACATGTTATATTTTTTGTAAGTTTAGGTTCTTCAAAGTAAGAAATTCAATTAAAATTTGAAATTCAACAAAAATTTCATTAAAATTTGAAATACTTCACTCAATTTACATTCACTTTAAATCAAGTATAAAAATTTTACAAAAGTGGTTCCCTGTTTTTGTTTTATTAAACATGTCTGTGTGCGATAAATTTATACAATTACATATTTTACAACTTTGATTAAAAAACAGTTTTTACTGTCAAGGAAAAACTTTGCATTCAAAATAAATAATAATAAGGCTTAATCTCAGTTTGTATTGATCAAATCGATTTACACATAAGGAATAAGTTAAACCACTTGCTTGAAAGCACAATGTCACTACACTTACTTATTTTTACTTATAAAAATTTGGTTGACAATAATAAAAATTATTTCAAAATTCAAATTGAACACTCTATTCAACCACATTTTTTTTGAAGAACACTAAACTTTTTCATTAGCGTTGGAAATCAGGATTAAAATTCATTAAAAATAATTGACCAGTTATCGATCAGGTTATTAATGATAAATGAAATAGAGAATGTGGTAAAAAAGTGAAAATTGAGGGTTGATTCACTCGCATATTTTTAAATTATAAAATTGATTTAATACATAAAAAATAAGTGTTACAGGTGGGCGCAAACCTCAATAAAATTAATTTTTTATGTAAAATCGAGCTTTTTCATATGCTCAAAAAAAATCTGTTGAAATTCAGTCAAAAACGTTCACTGGCCGAAATCGAGATGAAAAATGATGTAATTACTATAATTCCAATGAATAAGAGTTTGTGGTTCAGAATAGTGTTTTTTGTATACGAATTATAAAAAGAAAATAAATACAAGTATAAAGATGAATTCAATATGAGGTATGTAAAAACTCCCAACACTACATTTTATTCACAATTTTTCAATAATCTAAAACATTGACTCATTTTTTTATTTTTGATAAAAAATTAACCCTTTCCACCTGCGAAGTGCAGAATTATTATGTATTTTCTTGCCGGAGCGGCGACATGCGAGTGGAAAGGATTAAAACTTTGAGATAAACATTTCAAAATTTTACTTTCATAATTTGAATTAACTTATCAATTATTAAACTAAGAAGATCTCACTGGAGTACTTCTTAGACATCGCTCTCAAATATTGTCAATTTTGCTTATAGGAATCCTTATGTATTTCTGATTTGCTGAATAAAACAGAGTTAAAAAAATAATAATAATAATTACTTGAAAATTTGCTAAAACTCAATTATTATTGATATAGTCTATTTACACAATTCGGGGAGTTTATGAATTTTTTTGAAGCAAAATGCCACTTATACCTGATTATTCAATTATAAGCAAACCGGAGTGAATAAAATTCAATATTATCTCAAACTCCTATTACAATATTACTATTTCAAGCTCCTAATACCTCTATTACATATTCAACATCTAACAATATAAAAACATAGTTATTCCTGCACCAATGTTTTACCAGATTATTTGTTCTATTTATTTAAATTTTGATGTTAGTTCACAAGCTAAATAAATTTACAGTTTTATTTTTTTCCCCCCAGATGGTGAAGCTTTAGACATCGCCCTCTTCTACCCCGATGCCGAAGAATTAGATTTCTCCTGTCCGGGTTGTGTACCAGTAAAATGGCACAGCGGGCAAGTGCCAATAGCCAAAAGGATTTTCAAACTCCGGGTCGAGACAGTAACTCCGGGGGCTTTCCTTGCTATAACTTGCCTCGCTTCCATTGGGATTACACTGGCGGTCGCATTTTTAGCTTTCAATCTGCATTTCAGGAGACTCAAGTAAGGAAATATCAATTTAAATAGAAACAAATGATTTTCTTCCGATCGTAGATAGAAATTGTAAAAGATATTTACTGTGTTGATATTTGGATAGAACTTGTGCATTCGCTGTACTATTGAAATAAGTATTTCTTCTTCGACGGTTTGTTTATAAAAATACTTTTAAATCTGCATATACGGAAATCAATATTTTTATTGATTCGCCAATGTTATATTTAATATTATTTTATAAACCAGGTCATATTGGATACTAAAACTTATTTATTTATTTATTTACTTATTTATTTATATGCCAATCGTCTTTATACTATAGTTAAAAAGTTTTAAAATATAGTTTGCTAATTAATAACTTGTATATATATATATATATATATATATATATATATATATATACATACACATCTACATACATACAGATATGCATACATATATACATACATATATACTCATATAGTACACATATATACACATTCACATATACGTATATAAATACATACACATACATACACGTAGACTGTATGATAAAAACTATGATAATTAACATAAAATAATGCTTTGCTAGCATAAGAACATATTAATTTATTAACATCTTGAGAAAGAAGTTGATATTTGGAAGAAAATGCAACTGTTTGTCGCGATTGACGTTTCTAGTCGATTTGAATCGTTTAACATCCAAATATGTGTATGTATGTATGCGGTGGCGTTGTGCTAATATTTTTTTTGTCGGAACGCTAAAATTTAAAATCTGGTTCATAAACCGGTTCAAAAAATTGATATATTTCGATAAGAACTCACAAATCAAATATATTGACTTCTTATATAATTAACTCTATTATATACAGCTAGTCTATATATTAAATTGTACAAGTATGAGGGAATCATTGAGTACATAATTTATATTCTTTAATAACATTAATTATATTTATTATGGTATTATTTGTATTCATTATTACTTACAGATATAAAAGTACTCAAGATTTATTACAATACTTTATAAGACTTAACCTAATAATATGATAGATAACCTATTACCTATCTTACTATACTATATTATTGTATATCAAAGCTAGATATCTATTATCAATCATACAGTGAGATACCTATACCGTCATTAACTTATTATATACCTACATACTTTTGACTTCTTATAAATATTACTGTCTAATTTATATATTTACCTATATTATATAGGTTTACCTTACGCCCTATGTATTTTTTTTATTATCTCTACCTATCTATTGTCTATACCGGGATTTGAACTCGGGACATCCGCGTGGCGGTCGCGCACCTTAACCACTACCCTATCGGGTAGTCCCATTTATAACATAATATGGAACGCACTATTGTTTCCACGGGTCATTTTCTAATTAATTAGGTAATTAGTACTAAGGTGGCGCGACGACACGCGAAAAAAGACGGTTGATAGTAGCGTTACGGTGGTCTAGCGGTTAAGGTTGTCGCGTGCCACGCGGCGGACCCGGGTTCGATTCCCGGTAGGGTTAATGTAAGGTGTAAGGAAAATTATAGGTAATAGGATATATATAGTAGATATAGGTTAGGTGTATTCGGTATACAATGTAGGAATTAATGTAGGAGAGTATGTGGTGAAATATAGCGTATGGTATAGATGTAAGGCGTGTAGTATAGAATGCAACGTATAGGCATACGTAAGGCTATAAAAATACACGAATAGGAACCTATCATGTAGGTGTTAGCGTATAAGAAATGCGAATGAATATAAGATTTAATTTATAAATATTATTTTTTCTATAAGAATTTTTATCTCGGTATTAAATATCTAAAATATCCAAAATATCCGTTAAAGCATCGAACTTCATAGAAAATTAATTATTAATTTTAAACGATTCTGTGCACTGTGCGAAAATATTTTTTACAGAATAGCAACAGTCTGAAAAAAAATTTAACGTTTTTTTATAGTCTTTTTAATTTTTAAAAATAGTAATAAACTGGAGTTTGGGAATGAGCATATTTCATGGTGCGGAAAAATCTAATATAGACTATGTGAAAATTCCGGGAGAATCTTTCCAGTAGAAGTTGAGAACTCGTGGCTATCTTATAGAAAAAGACAGTTTCGTAAAAAACGCGTTTAAATCTTCGCGGAGATAGGAAACATAAAAGAATTAACATCGTCAAACAGTTATATCTCCGAAAATAATTGAAATTTTTTGAAATTCTCTTATACAGATAATTTTGAACTGTTATACTTTGAAAATATTGGAAAAACAAAATCGATTTTTCTACAATTCTAGACCAGAATTAAAAGGGTATCTCTTTACACTTACACAAAATTTATTTATTTATAATTTTATCAGTAACTATTAGTTTTCATAGAAAATTAACATGAACATACTTAGTCTCCTTGACTCAAAATATACATCATAGTTCCACTAAATTGTCAATTACGTTGGTGTTAAAATCTCGAAATTGGCTTGCACCACAATTTGGAATCACTTTCCTCCTGCCTCGTCATAAAGGAGCTCTGTTATTAGTGCCTGTGTGTCTATATCAAAGGTGATCTTTTGATGAATTTAACATTCATAATTAATTTATTTCCATTTCGCCTTCTCTGTGTTCAGCTAATGCATTCGCACGCATTGTTCCGTTATGGGGATAATGAAATAAAGCGCGTACCTACATGTAAGAGTAAAATTTCGAATGGCACGTGGGAGCTAGTTGATATTATGAATATATGGCAAACAACGAAATAATGTATTAATATAAATTGAGGTATTCAGGAACACGGAGTATATTAAACGTATCGCATAAAGCTGCGTTGTTTAAACTATGTAAAATGTACATAACACACAACATAAACTGGTTATTGAACAACATTTTGACTACTGAATGGTACTATTGTACCCACTACAGAATGAAATGCATCAATTGTTTTTATAAAATAGTGAATAAAACATTTTTTACTAATTATTTATTTTCATTTGTACTACGTGATGATTATTTTTTGCACATGATTTGCGATAATAATAATGGGTAGTACTGCCCTAGGGCAGGCAGGTCCGTGAGCTGAGTTAATCTCCAAATTGAATTAAAGAAGAATTTTGTGCGATTTTTTATTGCCATTTCATACAACGATGCCCGAAATGGGCTATTATCAATTAGAAACATTTTTGATCTATAAGTGAAAATGAACATCGCTTCTACACGATGTCAGGTTGTCCAGAGTCTCCGTGTAAACGAATCCGTGAGCTTAACCGTTAACCATAAAATACCCATGATTTGCAATATTCCAATTTAAGTGTTAATTAAAGCTTTTCGAATCATTCCCTAGTTATGTAGAGGATTATCATAATGTCGTGTTTTTAAATAAGCAAAAACAAAAGCCATCTCAAAGATCACCCAAACTCACTTCCCAAAGATCTCTCCGGGTCAGATTAAAAAGGAAGTTTATTCCAAATGAATCATTGCCAAAGTCACACCTTATGTATTCCAAACTTTATATTAGTCTATTACACGTTGTGTTGTACATGTGCATTTTACATTCATGTAAGTTTTAGGAACTTTTATGCTATAAAAACTACGATATATTATTATAATTACAATACAAATATAATTTTTACTACAATTAATTCGCTTTGCATTATATGAATTCACTTCTGACTAATGCATTTCTGCTATATAAACATATAGGTATATGCGTTAATTATGAATATATTCGTATTTCACTTTTGTTTAATTGCCAATAATGTAATTAATCATTATGTAAATGCATCATTATGTAATTAATTAGATTAAAATTTTATCCAGAAATACAAATGGATTAAATTTTATATTATAGGTTTTGGATATTTGTGCTAATACTAAAGAATTTTAATCTGCCTTAAATAGTATTATTATTATGCATTGAGGGTCTAATTTTCGCATAAAATAAAAATATTTCATTATGGGCCTTATATGTTAAATAGTTATGCAAATCACAAACTGTGAAAATGCTTGGTCTTTGGTGTTCTTTTAACAGAAGAGCTTTTAACACATAAAACCTAAACTCCAAATGGTTCCAATATCAAATGACAATTTTATCATAAATGCAACTTTCTGTTGATGTCACTTTGATAACACAAGGGTGAAGTCTGACGTTTGTGCCTTTTGGAGGTTAGGTTCTATGCGTCATTATATTTAGATATTTAGTAAATGTATCTTCAGATATTAGTACAGAGAATATTGCTCTGATTAGTAGTGATAAAGTACATAATTGTAAAATACATAATTATGAAGCACCTTAATAATGGTTTTTGTCACAAAATATGAAACTATATTTTGGCATACCTTCAATTTGTATGAATTATTCAATCGTCTTTCTAAATTAGAATTATGTACCTACCAAAGTACATAATTATGAAGCACCTTGATAATGATTTTTGCCACAAAATATGAAACTATATTTTGACATACCTTTTCAATTGTTGTGAATTATTCAATCGTCTTTCTAAATTAGAATTCTGTATCTATCAAGATACATTGTTGCTTATAAATGATATTATTGTGGGCCTATTTATTTATTATTATTTATAATATTTTTTATAATATTTTCAGATCAATCAAACTATCTAGTCCTCGTCTAAGCAATATGACAGCAGTTGGCTGCATTTTAGTGTATGGAGCAGTCGTTCTTTTAGGCCTAGATCATGCAACTCTGCCGACCTCAAAAGTTTTTCCAGCTGTTTGCACGGTAAGGATATAATTTTTTTATAATAATTATAAAAATTAAATGGGCAATAAGTGTTGAGTAATATATACAATAACCCACATTTTTATAGACAATCTACAATAATAAAATTTAGCAACCATATCTGTACTATACCAAAGCGTCTAGTAAATCATTATGTTCTAAATATTCATAGATATTTTTATTTAGTATTATTGCTTCATTTTGATTTTTACAACGTCACAAAAGTCATTACATAATATTGCACATTATTCATTTTTAGGTAATGATAACAATTATCATATTTTATTTATCTTCTATTCATTTCGTGCACAATTAACGCCAATATACTTTAAGCTGTTTAATAAAAAAAACTATTAGTTTCCAACATTTTTATATTTATTCTGCTGACACAAATGCTATTAATTTTATGGATTTGACTGTAAAGATGTCTTACAAATAGATAGTGTATCAATAAAATATTTATCAGGGGGTTGAAAAGTAAATATACTACTAGATTGGGACTCTATATTATTCATGAAGAACACGGAAAAGTAGTTGTTGCCCCTTAGGAAAACGATATATATATATATATATATATATATATATATATATATATATATATATATATCGAATTAAGTCTAAGTTTTCAAACAAATGCTATTAGTATTTTTTCCAAAAATTTATAATTGTTTTATTAATTTTTTGATACTCTTAAAAAAATTTCATTATCTGCAACGGGCAATTGAGATTAATATAAATATATATATATATATAATTATCTTATCTTATTATATATATATATATATATATATATACACATATATATGGGTATCTTGGCGATGTGAGAATACACTTTAATGTGGTAAAGGAAATAGGTGGTTTTCTTATATTTCCCAATCATTTATATGTCTGTTTTGCTGATGTGTCATTTTTCCTGGATCAAGTTTCTTGCAACGTCATCATAATGAAAAGGAAATAATAAAAATAATGGGATCCTATATGACGAATGAGATATCTAGTTTTTAGAAAGAAAAAGGGAAAACTTAAAGAGAACATTAATGCTTATTTAACAGGTGACAAAGTCTGTTTAACAACGATTTCAAAATTTGAAATAACTGATTTTACAAACTAGTAAAAATATTAGAAATTTGTTCAAAATGTCCTACACTACTTCTAAATTTATTTTTATATTATTCAAATCATGTTCATTATTTTTTTTTTTCAAATATATTGGAATCATTGGCATCAATAATCTTGAAAACGGAATCAAGGCAGTTTAGATCTTAGATCATTAACTTCCCGAAGGAGAAGTTAAGGTATTTTGCCAGAAAATACGATTTATTAAATTAATTTTCTCGACATTGAAAAAACTAAACTAAATTTGGAAGAAGTATATATGCACTTATTTATGTGACTCATCATTCGACCTTCCATCGACGTTTCTCCAAAAACAGCTGGACTAATCTCACAAATTTGAAAACCATTCGATATAACTGGGATTTCTTTGTAATTAGTATAGTGCAAAATTAGCTTTGTTTGTGGTTTAAGGTTTAGCACACAATTTTGAAATTTAAAAATACAAAGACTATCCGAAAGGCATTGGCAAGTGAAGATTGGCTGGGCCGTTTCTTCGTAATTAAATGCTAAAAAACATGTTTTTGATGATTTTTATGAAACTTAGTATGACGATAGTTGTCGTAACTTGAAATTACATTCTAAAATATTATAGGCCTACGGTAAGCGGCTAAATTATAAAATCATCAAAGTTGAGAGTTTCGTTTCAAGGATTTTAAGCAAAATCTATGCCAAAGCATATGCACCTTCTGTGGTTTTTGATAGGTACATACTGATTACAGACTACGTCCATAGTTAGATAAAATATGTTTTTAGAATACGAGACGAATAAAATAAATTATTTTAAATAAATTAATTTGATTTAACAATCACAAATATTTGAAGTAAGAATTGGAAATCGCATTGATTATTTGCAGTAAAAGCAATAATTGTATTTTTGGAATTAGCAGTTGAACTATTTTTACCTAAATCCCAGTTCTTATTGATTAAATTGATTATTTGTACGTATCGGGAAGTTTATGCAACTCGCCTTAAGGCAAAATGTTACTTCACCAGAACAACAATAGGAGCACTCACTGCATATCGTATAATTTTATCATTATTTTTCTTTATTATATAGATCTCTAAGTAAACGTTCGATATGAAATTTTTCAGATAAAAATAATAATTTTCAAACTTTTTACGATACTATTCAAGGCGATGATTATGAAATTACCAGTCTTTACTATTAAAAGCAATAAAGTCGTTCTGCCCTGGGGAAAGTTTTTTTAAATAACTCTCCATATTATGTTCTTTCCGCACTCAAAAGAAGATAATAAAAATGAAAAACGTCAGAATTCTGCATTCTATGCGACATATTCCACATTTCACGTTTTACATTTCACATTAAATTAGGTTCCCCGACTTTTATCTCATATTGCGTTGCTCCATATATGACATAGTGTATTAACGAACTATCATTGTAAAAATATTAAATTCAACTCAAGTTTGCTGTTGCCGTGACCTTTTGTCGGAAAACAGGAAAATTGAACACAAATTGGAAACAATCTGACGGAAAAGTCTAATAAAATATATTGTTGCAGAGATTTTATCGGTTTTTATCACAACACATAAATCAATGTCTTAAAGTTTGACTCATTTGGAACTATGAACGGGGTTTTAAAAGAATTAATAAATCGATCCAATTTGACATAGAACATATAATTCTTGATGTATAAAAAAGGTTGAAAATTATACAAAATGAAAAACAAGCTATAATGGAAAAATAGTATGTTGTAAATAAAACAAAATCGTGCATGGTCATGGCATCGTGCCTTAAACCAAATTACTGGAACATCCCGTACCAAATATCAAATTTTTTAAAAAAGATTGTTTTTTTAAACTTTGAATAAATTAGATTTTTGAGAACAAAAAGTAGAAATTTTTATAAATAGAAATATTTTGAATGTTTTTGATTTTTTAAAGCAATTTTAAAGTGTTAGCTGCGTGGAGGCATTGGTACGGAACAGATGTAAATAAAGTTTGTTGTTATTATTAAAATCTCTGTAAAATATCTGATAATATAATGTCCATATGTCTAATGATCATATTTGACTGCAAATGGCATTTTTTTACAGTATTTTATTGTATCTTCGAAACGGCAATTTTTTGCGATTACTATAACTTATCTTATGGAAAGTTAATAAAAATGCCATATGATTAATTTTTTCTCATATGAATAAATTGTAAATATAATCTTCGGGCATGACTTTTAATATGTTCTTCTCGAAATGAAATGTATCTCTCTCAGAAGTTAAAACATCTTAATCTTTATGGAGATACAGATTTAATCCTTTTGAAAAGGCAGCTACAATATTCAAATTATGAGCAAACGCAGCATATAGTATTATGAAAAAGATGTAGAGAGATGAATTTGATTAATATGCATGAGTCGGGGGGTAATTTAATATAATAATTAAGGGTTTTAGTGATATTTTTATTTCGTACCCAAATTTTTATAGCTTTTTATACTTTTAATTAAAAAATAAAAATAATTAAAAAAATGTTTAGATAAAATAAAAAGTATTTTGTTTTTAACAAATCCTGAAGAAAGGGATATCTCAAACCACGTAGAATTTCAAAAATATATTAATAAATATTTCGTAAAAATAAAATTATATATATGTATATATCTATATTATATTTATATTATATATATATTATATCTATGTATATATATAGATATGTGTGTAAGAATTTCAAAAAATATAACAAAAATTTTTTTTCATCATCATTGCGTCTGTATGCCTTACAAATTAGCATCAATTTTTGCTCTTATTTATATTTGTTGGGTAATTATTTGCATTCAGAAAAAAATTACAATAATATTAGTAAAAAATGTATCTTATCAATCAACTGTTCAATAACCCTTATGTTTCCAAGTTTATTGCCAAATACTTCATTTTATTTTTTGTGTTTTATTTAATTGGCTTATTTGTGGGCGTTATTATAGTTTTTCAATGGTTTCCGAAGTGCATTTAAATTTTCTACCATAATATTTAGCGTATAATTGGAACATGTAAACCACTACCTCCTTTATCTCCAAAGCAAAAACCATTTTCCTCGTAAACTCCACAAAACATGTCTTAGCTTTGCTATTATAATTATTCTAATTGGACTTTTCATTGAAATTTAAAGTTGGTTGCGAAATAATTATAGAAACTTAATTTTGAATTAGTAGTAATGAATTGAGTTTGTTTATTTGTTTATAGTTAGTTATAAAAAAATAATAAACGTAAAAAATACAAATAATTAGAACGGTATTAATCATGAATAATGATATCTTTCTAAATCTCTTTACAAAATTGTACATATTTTTTTGTCTTTACTAGATTGATGGAAATTTATATTAGCCATTAAGATAATTTAGTGTGACAAAATTTATAGCACATATTTGCATAAAAGTAAACTAATTTTTATATTAAATTAATACTAAGTGTTCGATACAAATGAGTCATAAGGGATAAGATGAGTTTGCTAATTAATTTATATTAATTTTTTAGAACGGTTGTAAAATAAGTAAATCAGTGATGAAAACTAATGATAGCTTGGCTGCTACGAAACTACTTTGAAATAACTTTACTACTTATATCTTGATATCTAATGGCATAAAAAATTAAATTACAAATTATAACTAATTTTAAAAATATATATACCAGAGGTTCAAAACGAACTAAAGATCAAAAATAAAATATTAATGATTGAAATATACAGTGAGATATATTTGTAAGTGAAAATATGCATTAAAATAATTATTGATATTATTTGGTACACGACCGGCTTTAATATTCCAATGTATATTTAAGTTAAAGATTTCTCTCAATCTTATAAAAAATTCAAACTACAATTTGGGAAAGTTCCAGCAATATGCTCCAGAGTACGATGTCATGCACCACTAGTTGGATTAT